ATACATACATACATACATACATACATACATACATACATACATACATACATACATACATACATACATACATACATACATACATACATACATACATACATACATACATACATACATACATACATACATACATACATACATACATAGATACGAGCGCCCCGGCTGGGCCTTACACCCGCGCACACACGCGCCGGCGCCTCACGTGAAGTACGCCACCGCTTCATCTGGGCCGTCCGGGATGGTGATACCCGCCCTCATGAGCCGCTCGTTCAGCTGCTGAGCCTGAGCAGCATCCCAGGTTGCAGCGCCGTTGCTTTGACGGCTTGAGGACACACGATACAGCCGCTGTAGCACGGTACGAGTCAAGCTCAGCGCCAGGCCGCCGCCGCCGCCGCTGCCGCCGCTGCCGTCGGCCACACCGGTTGGGGAACCCAGTACGGCAGTGCCGCCGCCACCACCGACATTACCAGCAGCAGGCGGCGCTGCTGCTGCGGCGGCAGTAGCGGCGCTGGGACCTGCGGGTTGAGAGGACCCGTCGAGACCGTCCGCGGCTGTGCTACTGCCGGCCCCATCTTCCCGTTCGCTGCGGGAAGATCGTTGCTGTTGTTGTCGTTGACTGTTGCTACTACGGAAGATACGGAGGCGCAGATTGGTGTTAAGGATGCCGATGCCGCTGGGGGGGCCCGGCGGCTGCAGCGCCTCAGGAGGCTGCGACGGCTCCACGGCGGACTCGTTGCTGCCGTACACCGCGGCGACGCCATCGCCACCATCGCCAAGGGACTCAACGCCGTCAGCGGATTGCGCAACTGTTGTCGTCGTCGCCGCCGCTACCCCCGTCGGCGCTGCCACGCGCCCCGTCACACCCGTCGCGCTCCGCCGCCTCCGCCGCCGCGGTGAACGCTGCGAAGAGTTACCCAGTGCCGTACTCAATGTCGCCGGTGCCGCCACCGGTTCTGCTACAGCCGCCGCAACCCCGGCCGGAGCGCCTGTCGCCTTCTTCCGGCCCCGCCGGACTGTACGACTACGCCAAGGCCGCCACCCGAACCCGCCAGACTCGCGACCGGCGGCGGCGGCGGCGGCGCCGCTGCCGCCACCTCCTCCTTCCCCCTCCTGCCGCCCTCGTGCCGCCAACAGTCGTCGTAGTCGGCCCCCCAACCCCGTGCTCCCGGTATCCACATTCGCTCCAGGGAGGGTGTTCTGTGGACCGGGACAAGTTCGCGCTCTTTTACGGTGCCGGGCGCTCTTCACCCCAGTGCAGGTACCGTGAGGCACATATTCGTATCTCGTTCCTGCTACTCATTACATATATGCGTATTAAGTGTCTGTCTGTCTGTCTATGTGTTTGTCTGTCTATCTATCTGCGTGCCGTAGGAGAGGGACACCGCCTCTAAAGCGGATGGAATCCACCGGTTTGAGTAGTGAAGTGCGGGAGGGGAGGGTCCATGACCACATCTCCCAGCACCTCACACAGCCGCACCACTACAGCCACGGAACACAATAATATGAAATGAAACACGACACGACACGGTGTTCACCATCGACTCCTCTTTCTACGCATCACAAGCCCGTGTGAGCTCCCACGTGGTGTGGTTTTCCTTGGGAGCTCTACAAACGAAACACAACCGCCGCCGCCACCGCCGCCACGCTGCGCAAGGCGCAACAGCGCAACCTCCCAGACGACCACGCACCTTGCCCTGCTTAAGCGCCGCCGCCGCCGCCGCCGCCGCTGCCTCCTTAGCCAGCCGCCGCTCCTCCCGCCGCCGCCGCCGCGCCGCCGCCGCTGCCGCGGCCGCCTCGTGGCGTCGAATGTCCTCTTCGGCCGAGTCCAGGGAGGCCACTAGGGCTCGATGTAGCGCCTTGGCGGCTATGACCGTTAGCCTTGGATATCAACCAAAACCGAATCAAAACCGAATCAAAACCGACAACGGAGAAAATCGTGACGACAAATAAATTCATACAGCGATTAGATGAAAATGGTGACGGAAAGAATTTTATTGGTTGAAAAGGATTTATTTTACTGCTCTAGTCGTCCAGATCATTGCTAGGTAGTGGTCGTGGTAGTGGTGGTGGTGCTTTGTGGTACGGATGAAGTTCATGAGGTAGGCGGTTGGCTAGGTGGTTGGCTAGGTGGTTGGCTAGGGGGGGGCAGAGGGTTGTAGATTGCCGGTAGGTGGTTGGGACCTCGCGGGTCGTTGGCGGTCCGGTGACACGTCAGCACGGTTGACCCGACCTTTTTTCCTTCTAAACCCTTCATACAAACAATTCAACCCTCTCCTCTCTCCCCCCCTCCAACCCCACCTGGACACCCCCACCAGCGCCACCAAACCCCCGGCCCCCTGCTGCTGCTGCTGCTGCTGGCCCTCCCCTGGACCGCCTGGAGCCGCGGTCTCCCCCTCCTCCCCCCCGAGCAGGAACATCAGCGGGATGGAGGGATCCAACCAGTCCAGCAGGTGCCGGTGGCCGGCTCTGCAGGAGGCAGGGGGTAGGGGAGCGGGAAAGGGAAGTTCATTCAACCACCCACCCCATCAATACCGGTTACAGATACAATACACATCATACACCCTACTACACATCGAGAATACACACCCTACTACACGCACATGGCCCGCTCAGTACCTCGCGGCGATGTGGAAGGGCAGTTTCTGGGTGCGGGTCAGGATGAACCGCGGGTCGGGGTGGCTGCGAGCTCGGCGCCGGCGCTCCGCCGTGTTCAAAAGGGCAGTTTGACTGGGGAGCAAATCAGCTGTCGTCTCGTACTGCAGCAAACGAATGTACAGCAACGGCCCCGGTCCGTACCGCCAGGCCAGTAACAGCAAGGACGGGACATGTACGGGGTTTAGGGTTTAGGGAAAGGGGAAGTTATTAAAGATACGTTTTTCTGTTCAAATAATATTAGTATAGACGCCGCCCCCCTCAATGTACGACAGGTTGGATGATTCACTCCGGAGAGAAGAGCACGTGGGGCCACGCGCACACACAAAAAAAATACGCACATACATACACACGCACACACAGATATAGCCCTGCAAACAAACATGTCAGTATCACTACATATGCCAACCCCTGTGAATCCCTCGTGTTTCCCGTACTGCAAATATCCGTACATACAAGTACACGACTTCTTCCTGGATGCACAGGGTCACGTGTTTTATCCTCAGTACGACACCGTACATTCCGTACACTCACGTACGCCCTGAGCAGCAGTTTGACTCGGTCCAGGTCGCCCATCAGGCAGGCGATGTGTAGCGGAGTGGAGCCCGGGGGCAGGTTGTACAGGGCCTTATGAAGCACCTGCGTGTGTGAGATGGGGGCGCGCAGGGCAGGCAGGTGGCCCAAGTCTGCGGTCGCTGATGGTCTTTCCTTAGTGTTGAGTTTGGGGCATAGGGTTTGTTCTTTTCCTCTCAATTTATTATTAAAACCCTAAGTTGTTATAGTAAGGACATACTACCAACGGAATAATAACCTACATGACCGGCAGTATATACATATATACATATATATATGTATATATATATATATATATATATATAATACGTGCAATATAATCTGCACAACCATGTTTTTTACTGTTTGCAAAACAGTTCAGCAAATGACGCGATTGGATGCATCTCGGAGCGAGCTGGTATGGAACACATCTACAGACATGAGTAGAGCGTGCTGGTATGTATGTATGTATGTATGTCGTTACAGGGTGGTTAAGCTCCACCAGCGGCCCCCTTTCCCGAGGCAGTTCCCTGCTCTCCCCTGCTAGAGGGGCACCCTAATCCGTTCACCCCATCTGACTTCAGAATGTATTCGTTGGGTTCAGCAACTCACCACCAGCATCCAACCAAATCTAGCGGATCAACGGCGCCTCAACTTTGTATGTATGTATGTATGTATGTATGTATGTATGTATGTATGACTTAGATTACACTGTGGGCCGCGAGAGCCGGGGGCCGAAGCCGAAACACAGCGCAAGGGTCGGGAGCACACAGCACAAGTCGGTTAGTCTTGTGTGCTCCCGACCCCGACTCAGACTGCCAACACTCTACGCAGCCACTCCGCAGCCCCTCCATCCGGGGATGGCGCTGCATTGAATACACCACGAAGGGCTCTCAGGTCCCGCTAGAGCGAGTCCACAAGTCTCAGCTAGGGCAAAGTCAAAGGCTCTCTGAAACAACCCCCCAAAACACCACCAACGAAAACGGGATTCCAAGGGAAAACAAACAAACAAACAAAAATTTGGTTAGGGCAGTCCCGGCAGGGGAGGGCTCCTGATATACCTAACAGGCCAATGTATGTATGTATGTATGTATGTATGTATGTATGTATGTATGTATGTATGTATGTATGTACAGTGGCATAGCATCCACCCAGCCGCTGCAGCCCTGGGCCCCACACCCCACCCCCACCTCAGCCACCCCCCCGTCTCATACAAACCCACCTGAGACCTGGCAATGATGTCGGCATCGAACCCCACCAGCAGCATCATGACAGACTTGCGGTCGGCCCAAGTTGCGTAGTGAAGCGGGGTGAACCCAAAACTGTCCACAGAGTCGACATACCTGCAGTAGCAGCAGTGGTGGTGGTGGTGGTGGTGGTAGTGGTGGTGGTGGTGGTAGTGGGTGGTGGTGGTGGCAGAGGAGCAGGAGGAGGATATTACTGGGGTTTGGCGGCGCGGTGGGGACGAGAGTGAGGAGGAGAGCGTGTTATGTATGTATGGTGTTGATTACACTGTGGGCTGAAAAGCCGGGGGGGGCCCAGGGCCAAATCACCGGGGAGGGGGGCCCAGACGCACACGGCTGGTTGGTCTCTCGTGCATTCCGCCCACACCCGGGTCAGACCGCGCGAGATGTGAGGGCCAGCACTAAGCAGCGTTCCCCACCGGGGGGTAGCGGGGGATTGTATGTATGTATATGTATGTATATACATGTATCTATGTATGTATGTATGTATGTATGTATGTATGTATGTATGTATGTATGTATGTATGTATGTATGTATGTATGTATGTATGTATGTATGTATGTATGTACATGTGACCCCAGATGGTCATGTCTCCGGTGTTACGGGGGATGGCCGAATGGGAGACAGAGCTACCGCGAGCAGCGCGAGTGCGCCTGTATGTATGT